GAAGAAAATGAAGAAGAAAAAAGGCAAGGAAGATGAAAAGAAGAGGAGGAAAATAAAAGAGGAATAAGAAGAAAAGGAAAGAAGAAAGCTAAAAGGATGTCAATGAAAATGACAAAAAGAAGGCGAAGAAAAATAATACAAAGAAGAAGGCGAAGGTGACGAAGAACATAAAGAATAAGAGGATGATGATGATGAAGACGATGAATGAAATGATGAAATGAAAGGAGAAGACGACAACAAAGAAAGAGAAGTAGTAGTAGTAATAGTAGTAGTGAAGAAGAAGAAGAAGAAGAAGAAGAAGAAGAAGAAGAAGAAGAAGAAGAAATGGAGAGAAAATACTGAGATAGACGTGAAACTAGTGGGGTTTGAAGAAAAAAATAAAAATCTGCAAAGACGTAAAAGGAGGTAAAACAAAGAAATGAATGTTAAATCAAACAATGTAATTCACAAAAAGAAGTTGTAAATTAAACCATTAATCAAACGATGTCTAATTGGATTTGGACACACAACATTTTCACCAATTTTCTCTCTCATTACTCTTACATGGAAAGGCAGATAAGGAGAGAGAGAGAGGGATAGAGAGAGAGAGAGAGGGAGAGAGAGAGACGCGCACACACACACACACATATATATATATATATATATATATTTAAAATAGAAGTAGTAGCGATTCCTGCCACGTTCATTTCGCGGGGCTCACTACTACCATTCAATCGGCATCAAACAGTGAGTTATGTGCCATGCATGATACACGCTTAGGCGATCATGTATCTTTTGATACATGGCTGACGAGGCAGATTTTTCTCGCAGTAGGTTGACATTTCTTTCTGCGGTCGACCTGCTTTTTACCCATGGGGATTCATAAATTTCCCAACGGTATTCTCAAGTGAGTGAATGCAATGGATTCGACTGGAATTCGAACTCGGCTCCCCGATTCCTCAATCCGCAACTACATCTTAAAAGATAACCATATAGACAAAACCAGTTTACTCACTACAAAGATGAAACTTCGTTTTGGTGCATTTCAATTGCACCTCGACTGGTAGATATTTTTTTCTCAAACAAATGGAAAAAAGGAAGTGACGTTTCACACACAGCCTGCTTACAAGCAGAACTGTTTACACCAGTCGAGCTGCAATTCAAATGCACCGAGACGAAGTTGCATCTTTGTAGTGAGTAAACTTTTTTTGTCTATATGAAAAATTTATAATAAATAATTATTGCTCTAATATCACTATCGAGCCCTCTTTTTTTTAATTAATGCTGGGAACGTTAGAATTTATATATTATTTTCGTTCTCATTGCATCATATATATATATATATATATATATATATATATATATATATATATATATAGATAGATAGATAGATAGATATAACAAACAACATGCATTACACAATACATCTTAAAAGACAATCGCGAATTAACAAACAATGTATATCACAAAATGATATCTTATAAGACAACCGTGAAAATAAATTAATATCAATTAACAACAAATTCCTTGAAAATGGCTAAAGAACTGGCCGAAAGCGATTGGGACAATAGACACTACGAATAATTTTTACCCTCCTTTACCGACATCAAACGGAAAAAAAACTTAAGAATAGTAGAAAAACTCAATACAAGATTCATCAAAATTTCCTTGTCCGTCATATTCAACGAAACGTGTTTGAAAGAAAGGTTGCTGGCCAAATATATTATATATATATATATATATATATATATATATATATATATAGTGTGTGTGTGTGTGTGTGAGAGAGAGAGAGAGAGAGAGAGAGACGGAGACGGGAGAGGAGAGAGAACGGGGGAGATAATATACACAGGCGGCCCAGCGGGTACAATGGACGACCTTAACGGGCAGTAAAGAGTTTGATGCGTTAAGTGCCGGTTGTCCAGTTTTATGTCAAAAAAAGATTCTCAATTGACATTGGTTGAAAGAAGGTAGGGAAAAAAAACAGGAAAAGATATCCGACGACATTTTTATTACTTGTGGATATTTAGTGTAACCTGAAAGGTGCTAATGTCAATTTTGTATTTACTTTATAATCACGCGTGCGCCCACACATAGACGCACAACCATATACGAACACAGACACACACATATATACATGCACAAATAAGAACGCACACACACACAAACACACACACACACACACACACACATATATATATATATATATATATATATATATATATATATATATATATAGATATGCGTATTTCTTTGTGATAGAGGATCGCGCGCACGCACACACACACAGACAGACATCCTTGAAAGCGCAGTCTGGTAGACATATTACACACTGTTTAATAAATAAAAGTGTCTATTTCAAATACGAAGTGTCTGCTATTAAAACGTTTGTACTAATAAGAATTCTTTTAACGCTATTATATTTATTATTGCTATCAATATTATAACCTTTCTATGCTCAGAATGTTATCAGAAAGAGCAATACAAATGCATATAGACGTGTACCTTTGTTTTATAGATTATGCAAAGGCCTCCGATAAAGTTCGCCACAAAGATCTGTTATAGCTGCTCAGCAACCTTGATATATTTGGGAAGGATATCAGAATAATCAAAAACCGATATTGGCAACTAACCGCCTGCATACGGATAGAAAATGAATTTAGCAGATATACAGAGATAATAACGGGTGTAAGACAAGGATGTGTCGTCTCACCGGACTTATTCAGCCTATACAGCGAGGCGATTCTGAGTGAACGAGACGTCCTACCAAGATGCATTATTGGTAGCCACTATCTTAACAACATAAGATATGCAGATGACACAGTGTTGGTAGCAGACACGGAAAGAAAGCTGCAAAAACATTTACAAAGGCAGTGAAGGAAATCGAGAAGAAAGGATTAAACATCAACTGCAAAAAGACAAAATGCATGGTTGTTAGCAAAAGGATGAACCCAAAGTGAGCAAAAGAATGAACCGAAAATATCTGGGAAGAGTTTTAACAGAGGCCGGAAAATGTGACACTGAAATCCGAAGTTGTATTGGAATAGCCAAGGAAGCATTCCAAAAGTTAAGCAGAATAAGTAGAAAAAATCTTTAGTAAGAAGGAAAAAAGTACTAAATTGTTACGTGATATAAGACTGTCAGTTTAATTTTTTATTATATTTTTCTAATTTTCGGATAAGGTGTTGTGTATTGTACTCGAAGTTGCAGATAATTCTAAGTTAGAATTCTAACGATCACACAGGCACCAAGTGCAAGAAGACAGAATACATGGTTGTTAGCAAAAGGATGAGCCCAAAATGTGAATTTCAAAATGGAGATACTAAATTCAAACAAGTGTGGAAATTTAAATATCTAGGAAATGTTTTAGCAGAGGAAGGAAAGCGTGGCACTGAAATCCGAAGATGAAAACTATGATTTTCAGTACCCTTCTTTATCGTAACCGATACCCCTATCGATAAATAGGGATTATTGTTATTTCCATATTTTGATTACTTCGCTTATTATAACTATCTATAGATTTATAATCAATTATAATTTGATATGAGTTGAAATTTATTTTTTTATAAACACTGGGATTCTGATTATTATTATTATTATTATTATTTCTTCTTCTTTGGACTTCTGTTGTATACACAATTCCTTCCGGGTCCCAACCAGAGACCTAAGGTCAGAAATAACTTCATGACATCTTCCACTGGCCAATTTTCTTAAGAAAAAAAAAACAAAAAACAAAAAACCCCTTAAGATCACACATATTTTAAATAGATAAAGCTCTTCGTAATGTGTGGACTGTATATGCGAGTATTATTATTATTATTATTATTATTATTATTATTATTATTATTTGTGTATGTTATGTTTCCTGCTTTGTACCCTGTAGAGCTGGGTCCAAACTATGGTCCTTAGGACTCTATAGAAGAATTGTCGTTTAAGTGATAGCACTCTTCTTAGTATATGGAATACTCCTAGTTGGATGATTTTCTGGGCAACTTGTATGTTTATGTTACCTGGGACACTGTTAGTAAAATTGTCCATTCCTGTTCTCGCGAGACTCAGAGCTCTGGTTACTATTGGCACAGTTTCAGCCATAATTCCCGACATCCTGTTAATCTCGATCTTCAGGACAATTTCTCGCTAATTTTTATGGAGGTGTTTCTTTCAGATGATACTGCTATGTCAATAAGCATCATACACTTCCTTGTCTTTTGTTTTTAATAATATGACGTCTGTTGAATTGGAATGTCCCAGAGGATAGTTACATCGTTATTTTGGGTAACTCTGGTTAGTGGTCATACCATCTCTCAATGGTTTCGATTTTGTGCTTCTTGCATATCTTTCAGTACACATTATTATTATTATTATTATTATTATTATTATTATTATTATTATTTACCAGATTAAACTAAAAGTGGTTACACTGAAAACGACATAATCTATGCGAGTCATTGTTTACCTGATAGGGAATATATGCTGAAATGGGCTCTGCCCCAAAACTTTAACATTTTCTACGTGGTGTATCTTTACTTTTTGCATTTATGTCTGCAACAGCGACAGAAAAATTTACCTGAAATATTTTCAATTAACTTGTAAAGTATAAGTATTTTTCTCCTTGAAAATTTAGTTTAATTAAAAAAAACAAAAAAAAACATCGGACTGGGTGTCACAATAAGTACATTGGGCTTTGTAGATTTGTAACTCAGTATAATGATTATTTAAATACGCTATTATTATTATTATTATTCCTTTGATTTCTGGTGTATACTCATTTTCTTCCGGGTCCCAACCAGAAATCTAAGGTAAAAAATAACATCATGACATTTTTCACTGAGAATTTTTGTAAAGAGTAAAAAATGCTAAGAGCTAATTAATATTTGGCTCACAAATGACTTACATTTAATTTTATAAATGTTTCGACCTTTAACCACGTTATCTTCACGATAGTATAAGTTAACAAGAAGTCTTCATTTTATCGACCGTAACTTTTAGTTTTCCTGTTATATGTTCTTGTAGCAGTTGGCTTATGGCCATATCATGTTGAAACACCGATTCCCGTACGACCACCGTAGTTAATCATCCTCGAATCTGTTCAATACCTAGATTAGTGGCCGCTTGGGAATACCAGGTATTATAAGCTTGGGTGTGCAGGTGGTTGTAACTGATATTGGCTCGGAATTGTTAATCAGAGAGCCGAGTTCCAATTCCAGTTGGGTTCGTTATATTCACTTACGCGCAAACACACTTGAGAAAGTTACGAATCCACTCCTTCTCACACCATCTATGGGTTAATTAGTTAGATTGTATCAATAAAGCATTATTACCTCCCCCCACAAAAAATAATAATAAATAAATAAATGCATGCAGAATATTTAGATTCCGGCATTAACAGCTAAGCAAAAACAATCAACCAATCTTGTAGCATTTATAATAGTATATATTTTTACCAGTTAACTTTCAAGTTTTTCTTCGCTTAGGCATGAGCAGTAAAAGGCTTTAATGCTTAGACGCCTGCCCATCGACTTTAACTCCAACCAGCAACATTTAGAATAATGTCGCTGGTTAAAGACCTTACCTATTGACAAAGAAAGACCATAATACCTACTATTTATTGTTATTAATCGCAGTATAGGTAATTGTCCTCAGTGAAGACAAGAATTTTAAGATAGATAAAATATCTATGAATATATGAATCATAAAAGAAAGCAATGAAAAATAAGTCGTTCGTAAAAAACTGTTTAACAGGTTGGTGGGAAAAACCAATTAATTGAAACTGTATCCGATTTGTTTATCTATGATCGGAACAAGGATAAGTGTATATGACTGAATGGACACATATGGCCGGCCACGGGAACTGATAAGTCATTGGACCGTAAACTTTGGACAATAGGAAAATATCACGACTTATCTGACTATGAGGGCAGGGACGTATTTTTTATGTGATCATCTGAATATGTGTCATAAATTTTACACTACTTCTCACGACCAACGGAACATTCACTTATATTGATAACATCCGAGCCGAAAACCCGCTTATAAAAAAAATTACTTAGCAACGAGCATTTGCTATTTTCCTCAAACAAATGGCTCTATCAAAACAAAATTACTTTTCTTCTTTAAGCTAAAAACGAATCTATGAGTTAAATAGCAGGGTAGACTGGGCTTTCTAGCTTTGGGTGGTAAATACTCTAAGAGAACAAAAACTCAGGATAATGCAAATAGGAACAACTTTCCCAAGAATTCACAGATAACAAAGAAAAATATATGAAGAGTGGTGATCGCTTTCGTCCTGTACCATCAGGACGTTGGCGATCACAATTTCCTATTCTTTGTAACTCTTAGTAAAGTTTGTCTTTTTTTCTATCTCTCCTAATCCCTGTTCTGCCATCCATTTGCTCAAGTGCTTTCGGTAAGTTATGCGCTGTTCTCTTCTGTCCAATTTGTCTTCAATATAACTTTTGTGTATCAGATTTTCCAAGCCCTCTTTTCTCATTATGGGCGCGAGAGATTTCATCTGTCGTTTTCTGATGTTAAGTATTAGGCTCCTTTGTATTTCTATTGTCTCTAAAACTTCGTCGTAGCTCACATGCACAATCCATGTTATTCTCATCATCCTTCTGTAGAACCACATTTTTGTCGCTTCAAGTATTCATCTGTGATGTGATTACCCAGTGCTCGTTGCTATATAGGAGGGCCGATATTACATAACAGTTCAGTTCTCTTTTCTTTGTTCATAACGTGATTTTCTTGTTTCTTAATACTTTACTTAAGTATTGGAAGGCATCTTTCGCTATCTCTGTTTCTGTCCTCTATTAATACACTTCTTAGATATTTAAGTAATTCCATTTTTTCTAACAGGAAAATAAGGAATAATCGAATCTGTCTCCTAAAACGCCTACTTTGGTTTCTCATGAATTACATGACCATGAATTAATGACGTTAATATTATATTGCTACAGTTTTAAAGATAAATTCAGGTCGTCGCTATCGGCTTTATCTCGAATTTAATTTCTTTTTTGTTAATTTCTTCCCTTATGATGACAGTTTTGATGACTAAATTTGCTGCCAACGTGCAGGTTCAGGAGTAGAAGCTTCCAGTTTTAGTAAAACCTCCTCCTGTCACCCATTTCCTATCGTCGTTTGGCTTTGCAAGAGTTAGTTGGAGTTTAAGAAAATCAGTTCCGATGGCGGGAATTTGCTTAACGTGGATCTCAACTTGCCAGGAAGTGACCTGAACTCTTGATTTCATGAGCTTCTTCTGCGGCACACGTAGAATCCAGTTATGAAACTGCAACGGACTGCCGCTGACTCTGTTATAATTTCGAGTGGCGCCTTCTGTAGCATGTCCGTCATGCGTAGCCCTCTTAGTCCGCTGGTTCAACCGTTGAGATCTGTTGTAATCGTGATCCGCTTGTTCCACCGCAGGGGTCTTTGGGGTTGGTCGTGCTTAGTCTCAGTCATCGTCTTCGACCTTGCCGCCAAGGGTAGCTCTACCAGGAGTTTAGATCTCCTGACGTCATCGCTCTCAGAGTCATTGGACCCCGCAATCCCCTCCACCGCGACAATGAGTGACCATCAGAGATAAAACATACAGATTCAGGTAAGTCAAATATTCCATTATGTTATGCCAAGGGTGGGTCGGAAATCTCTCCTATACCAAGAATGACTGTTAATATAGACCAGCAACCGGATATACCATATTTCAAGTTTTGGTGCCAGTTGATCTTCAACATACATTCCGTTCCTTTTGGGTTCACGGGGATGCCCCTTAGAAAACCGAACATCAAAAGGAACCCCTCCGCTGGTCTAACAATCAGAAACACTTGAGATCGAGGCAAAACCACCTCTTACCTTTCTACATGGGTGTCTACACATGCTACACATTCGAAAAACGTTTTATTCAATTTCCTAATGAAGAAAATTTTCGGTTCATTCTTGATCCAATAAAGTACAGTAGCTCAAAAAAAAAAACCAAAAAACAAACAAACAAAAAACATATATTTGTGACTTTCAAATGTATCTTTCAATACTGGGAACAATCACACTACTATTTACTCCTGCCTCAATAGCAAATCTGGTATCGCTGACAAAACTAACCAGACCATTAGTCTCGAAAAGGACCTCCAATCGGTTGTAGACTGGGGCAGGGATTGGCTGGTTAACTTTAATGCCTCTAAAACAAAACTGTTCTCCATTACTCACCACAGGGAACCATCCCTACCACCCATTAGAATGTCTGATGCTCAACTCCACGAGAGCACCTCTTTACGACTGCCTGGTCTCACAATGTCCGCTGACCCCAGATGGAATAATTACATTGAATCAATAGCTTCATCCACTGCAAGGAAAGTTGGTTCCCTGTGTCACGCCAGAAAGTTTTTCTCGCCTGAATCTATCCTTCAAATCTACAAATCAACCATTCGCCATTGTCTGGAATACTGCTGCCATATGTGGTCTGGGGCCCCGCTGTTCGCCTGAAGGTCATCGACAAGATCCAGAGACGGATGAGCAATGTGGTTGGTCCTGATCTGGCATCTCGTCTTCAGTCGCTCTCTCACAGACATGCCGTCACCTCCCTTTTTCTACAGATTCTTTCACGGTAACTGCTCCGATGTGATACTATCTCTAGTTCCCAGACTGCATGAATTTAAGCGTGCTACTAGGCTGGCATCATGGTCCCACCCCACACTGTAGAAACGGTTAAATGTGGCCGTCTCTTCTACTCTAACAGCTTCATGTCTCGCACCTCTTGCCTGTGGAATTTCCCTCCTATTACTTGTGTCTCTGATAGCTATAATGTCCAACTATTCAAATGTGATGTCAATCAACATCTCCAGATGCCCTGAACTTTCCCCTGCTCTTATCTTCATCCTTTCCTCCATCACAACTGTTTACTCTCGCTCCCACTCTGTAACCCTCTGCATACTAGTGGCATCTCGCTTTGCTTGGGGTGAAATGCTTAAAAAAAAATCAGGCGTCAGACGTTACTAGATCGATGTTGTATGATGTTATTCAGCAATTCTCATGATCAGGCTTCTCAGCGTTTGAGCCGTTTGTTGATTGCAATAAAGTGATGCGTTGCCGTGATGCAAGAAATGTTCAGGCCAGTAGGCGAAAATAAATAATATAAATAATTTATTAATAAATAAACGGGGTGTCTACTCAAATATGGGCATTCACTAAAATAACGATTAAGTAATAAAAATCTGTTGGATTGAGAAATAAAAATCCATCAATTCTTTAGAAATTTCTATCTATCTATCTATCTATCTATCTATCTATCTATCTATCTATCTATCTATTTTGGGTGGATACGATCCATTTACCAAATTCTGATCAGATGACCAAACGCTTCAGATTTTTTTGAAATCTCATCTTTTAGCACCAAATCGGATATATATATATATATATATATATATATATATATATATATATATAGATAGATAGATAGATAGATAGATATTTAAAAGGAAAAAAGATCACTTTAAGGCACCATAAAAAAATTTATTTCACCAGAGTCCTTTTAAAGGACGCCGGATCATTAGGTAGCACTTCCAAAAATGAAATGAAACGAAAAATTAAATTAGAATTGATGGATAGTGTAAGTTTTTGTAATTTAACAGAGAGTGTAAAAGGAGTAGTTAAAGAGACATGGTAGAGTATAGGGAGGGATTAATTTCATATCTCTCTCAAGCATACTTAGTATTGGGGGAGGAGGAATGACCAGACCTTGATCTATTTAGACGGTTAATTTAACGGAAGTGATAAATTGAAATGAGAGGTGAGAAGGAGAATATATATATATATATATATATATATATATATATATATATATATATATATATATATATATATATATATATGGATATATAGAGCATTTGTAGATATAAACAGTGTGAACCTGAGAATCAACACTGCACAGAGACTATCAGTTTCACAATAAAAATGACCAATATATATATATATATATATATATATATGTGTGTGTGTGTGTGTGTGTGTGTATTGAACTCTCCCAACATTTTCGACATTTTTGAGTAAAGTAACTCAGCTCATCAGAATCGAACAGACAGACTACTCACAGATATGATTTGCTTATAAATGGTGAAGGCTTGTACAGCATAAACGACGCGT